AAGTCCCTTGCCTGAAAGACTTTAGAGCCTAAAGTGACTCTAAGCCAAAAGGTAGAAGGTTGAAATAGAAGTGGCATTAAGGGTTGAAATGACACCTAAGAACCTCTGCTCTGTGACGGAGGTAAGAATTAAACCCGGGTCTCCCCAGGGCTGGTGCTTTGCGCAGTTCAGAGGCCTGTGCCTTTTTTAATTCAGTCTCGCTAAGGATACGCAAACTTCATCTGCAGAGATAATGAAATGGGAGCCTGTAAGCACTGGAGCACAAATGCACTTAAGATCACGTGCGTCTTTGAACGGGGAACTCATTTTATTAAAACCAGGGGTTACTTGGAGTCTTAAGCTTACACAAACATACATGGATACTGTGCTGCCTTAGAGCTGTAGTTTCTCCTTTAAATACTATGTGTCGTAAATCAGAATCTGTGCATCTTTGATTCAGTTTCAAAGCAAGTTCAGGATTTCAGTAAGGATTTTTTTTTTCTTTCACTCCTGGAGGTTCTTTTTGATGGAGGTGCCCCTCAAAATGCAGCACGATTAATTCCTCTTGCTTTTAAAGTGGCATTATAAAGACATTTTAAAAACTGTATGAGACCCCAAATCATTCTATCTTTCAGAAAGAATGTTAAAATATACTTGATTTGGCGTCTTGTAGAAATTGAAAGGTAGGAATTTTGCTATTACATATATTTTGTTCTTTTGGTTGCATGGAATAGTGCAATAAGTCAGCTTGGTCTGTGAATTGCAAACATTGCAAAACCTGGTAAACAGCTAAATCTTCTTTCTTGCACAAAAGAAAATGACAAACTAATTTTATTTTTTAAACGTTTTCGCCCATGCCTTAGAGTGAGAAAATATGAAAATATGCTATGGCATTGTTTTCTATTAAGTCACTCTCTCTTAAAGAGAAAAAAAAGACTTCAAAAGGGTTGGATGACAAGAAGTGTTCTGTATTTCCAAAATTAACTATGAAGGACAGATAATCTGGGCATGTCTGAAAGCTACACGTAACCTTTGTGCTACAAATATCTCATTTCAAAAATGTCATATTTTGCTTATTCGGGAGGGCTTCCGTAAGGTGTTTTAAGCACTCTGCTGCTTGTGTCTAGATCAGAACTGGAGTTATTACTGCCTTTATGATTTGGTTTATTTGTAGTTTATTGGAGGTAGATGATTGCTTGGTAGAAGAACGCTATTAAGTGCAGAGAGCTCCCGTCGGAGGGGTGTAATGTAGGTGAGCGGGGTCGGGGTCCTGTGCCACGTCTCCTGTTCTTGCAGGAGCGCCGAGGTGTCCCCGCACGGCGAGGCTGGTCCTGCCGGGGCTCTGCGTCGCACCCCCCGCACCCCTTGGCCGCGACGCACCAAGACAGGCTGGGATTGGGGCCCTCGTGCCGTGAAGTGATAGGAGCAAGGTCTCAGGGCAGGTTCCTGGGCACCCATGGACTGGGGACATGGTAGTCCACGTTGAAAAGCTTTTAATTACTCCGTGTTTGGAGCCAGCCACGCTGCAGCGTGGGTGTCATCATGCCATGTGGTTTGCTGTGCATGGGAGTTTGTGTTCCCAGCAGGCGCTGAGTGCTTTTTCTGCCTGGTAAATATCAAGTACTTGAAGAAATCTTGCCGCTTCCTCTCAGGAGATTGCCAAATAATCTCCTTTCATTGGCCAGGGGATCTTGCCAGGGCTTCTGCATCCATGCACATTTATCCCTGGCACAGGCTGGTACCACAGAAACTGCAGATACTCCCTGCTCCTTTCGCTGGCTTCGCCCAGCTCTGCTCAGCCGTGGGATTCCTGTTTTCTTCTCCGTTATTCTATGGAAGAGCAATCTAGCACTAAATGTTTCCGCTTTGAATAGCGTATAGTAGTTATCAATATAATGAAATGCCTACAAAATATGTAAAGCTTTCCAGTTTACCAAGGCAGAAAAAATACCTAAATAACATCTTGCCATTCTTCCCCTGGAAATACACGTTTTAATAAAATGAACTGTGGCAGAGGAAGAAATGTTTTGAATAGAGAAAGGAAAGCAAATCTTTCACCTTGTCGTGTTTTAGTCTGTGTACGATAAGAGAGGATGGGGTCAGTTGACCTTTTTGTTGATAATGTCACCACGATATTTCAGGCTAATGCTACATATCACGCTCGGGCAGATAAGGAGTGCTGTGTGTGTGTCACTGCGGCAGTTAATTTCAACCCATGCAAAAATACTTTACAAGAGTCTGTGACAGATTGTCATTCTTTTATTCCATGACATTTCTCATTTCTTTGCCTATAATGCAATAACTTTTGAATGTTGCATATGCAAACCCCAACATTTCAGGCAAAATCTAGACCACATAGCAGAAGCTCATTGGTTTAGATGAAAATTGTAAATGGAAGTGGCAAAGAGGCAAAAATGGGCTGTTTCTAGCAATTTGTTTGAAAACATGATGCCCTTAAGCACTTTTAGCGATCGGTAGCAAAGATGTCAGTTGGTACCAGCCATGAGAGGCCTCCAGCACAGCCCATGTCTCTTATAGCTTTGTCCATCATTGACTTCTCTCCAGGCAAAGAGAAGAGGAGGAACAGTGGGACTTAGGTATGAGACAGAGCACGGAGAGGAAACCCATGGTGTAGGAGACATAGGAGAGAGAGCAGGGAACAGGGGTCTGAGGAATGGGAAATACTTGTATCTTAGGCATTAAGGGTGGTGGCTTGGTGCACAGGGAGCACAACAGTGCCCTAATGAGGAGCCCTTATGAGCAAAATGCATGGTTCCAAAGGCAGCAGAGTGCCTGAACGGGTAGCCACAATGTATAATCTTGTAGCCAATATAAAGGACAGTTCAGGTCCTGTGTAAAATGTTCAGAAATGATCCAGGACCTTGTGTCAACCTCATTCAGTGTGTCTTCAATTTAATGACACCAATGTGAATAAGGCTGCTCATGGTAGGGTGTAAATCAAGTTAATAAAGATACAGAAGGAGGACTGAGATCAAATTTATGCCAGCAGCATCTGTATGAACATAATGCACAAATAACATAACACAGAGAAAGGAAATAGGGTTTTAGCTGGAAGCAGAGCAAGAAGAATCTGGCAGTGTTGTCATAGACATTAGGAAGAATATTTTCTACAAAGCCCAAATGATTCCAGTAGCCTATATCTCATTCCCATAAGTCTATCTTTAGACATTCAAGAAAATTAATTTGGGTTAATTAAAAAGACAGATTTAAAGTGCATTAGGATGTATCCATGTAGTGGAAAACTATCAAGCTAACACACATGCTTATCTGTGGCAGCTTCCGCATGTCCCCAGCCTGTTGCAAAATGGAACACATTAATTAGAGACACTGTGAAAGCACAGGGCTGGTCTTTGTTTAAATTGTAGCTGGGTTTCTTGTTCTATTCAGTTTGGTTATATGTTAAGCTTAAACAGACACTATTGATGAAGGGTGGTCTCGTTGTTTCCTATACTTCATAGACACACACCTAAGTCTCCTTGTTCCGAAACAAAACTTGAGTCTTGTTCCGCTACTGCCTTTGTTACTATACTTTGTAAGGACGAAGAATTGATTGTGTCAAGGGTATTTAACGGATTGAGCAGAATGGGACAAAGTGGTGACACTGTGTTTGAGTCCTCCCCTGAGAGTGGCCAGGACATTCTGTAAGGGCTGCAGTGTCCGCCCGGAGAGGTGGGTCCTATGTAGGTCATCCAACACTGCCGTTCTGTTGGCAGAGAAGTGCTTAGCTGCTACCTTTAGGAAGAGCTTTTTTAGGTGAAAAAGCACCAACCTTGTTGGTTTCAAGTTAGAGACGTGCTAGAGGTTTTCTGATGGGGCAGCAAAAGTAGTTTGGAAGTGTCTCTGCGTGTGCAGTGCTAGAGCCTCAGCAGGGAATTCCCAGCTAAGCAGGGCTGGGATGCTGGCATCTTCAGCCCAGCTGCGGTCTAAGGCTTTTTTTTAAAGCTGTGCAACATGTGAATAAAGTATCAAGGCTTTCAACACGAGAACTGTTTGCACTGTAGAAATACAGATTAGGTTTAGTGTGCTTGATGATATTTTTCTGAATGCTTGTGTCTATTTAGGAAGAAAAAGCGACTTCACTCAAACATTTAATGAGGTATTTTATTAACCCTAACATTTAATGACATATTAACTATTTATGCAAAGAGAATGGCATGCAATTTCCATGAGTTCCTTTCTTATTTATTCATAATGGATAATTTCTAAGAAACCCCTGACCTCTCATTCCAATTGAATTTCATCGTAATGTTTCAATTTGTAATTTCAAAGGCAAAATGATCTGTTCTTTCTAGATGTAATCTGTTTGGAAAGGATCTGAATATGTAAGATATTCTCTTCCCCCTTGAATTCAGAGAAGTCTTGTTAATTTATGGAATGGAAAGTTAAATTATTAGGATTATTCCAATAGTAAATTTTATGGTATTTATATCCAGTAAATTCTGGATTTATTATAATGTTGCTGGATCTTACTGTATGTAAGAGTTTCCTTTCTCAATGTTGAAATAATTGTTGCTTTATGCAAGAAATTACTATAAATAAAAATGTCTTAATTCATCACTGTGTTATTGCAGAGTTACATCACTGTCACTCCACTGTGAATGTCCAGGATCTTAACTGTTCTCTCACAGCCATAAGGATTTCTTTCTGGTGCTTAGGTTTATGTCTTTGCTGATTCTCCAGGTTTTTTAAATCCCACAGGGGTGTTTCAAAAGGATAATGTTTAAAATGAAAAGATCGCTGTCCAAAGACTTGAGGAGAACACAGTTTTCTCAAAAGAAAGGAAGTGCTCACTAGCTGCTTAGCTTTGCAGTGTGTAAGCAAGGAGAGAAGACTCGGGGTGTTCTGAACAGGGCAATATTTTAATAGTGTTTTGCTGTTGTATTTCTGGAGAAAATCAACAGTAGGCTAGTCCCAGAATTATGACATTGTAACAGAAATCTTACGTCTGAAAAAGCTTGTTAAATACCTATGATGAATATTTGTATTTGGTTCTTTTCTAGTGTCAGCCAAACCAAGACCTCACAGTGATGAATATACAAAGAAGATTCCACCTCCTAAGCCGAAACGAAATCCAAACACTCAACTAAGCACATCTTTTGATGAAACGTATATCAAAAAGCATGGCCCCATGAAGACAACACTCACTAGGGATGCCTCTTTATCGCAGGTCAGCAGTCCTGCTCCAGACACAGAGGAAGAAGAGCCTGTTTATATTGAAATGGTTGGGAATATACTCAGAGACTTCAAAAAAGATGAGGATGACCAAAGTGAGGCAGTCTATGAGGAGATGAAATACCCTATATTTGATGACGTAGGCCAAGATTCAAAATGTCAATGCGAATATGACCATCACACTTGTTCTTCTCAGTGTGCTACTCCCACAGTGCCTGACCTAGATTTCACCAAGTCTTCAGTGCCATCTACTCCCAAGGGCTTGCTTTGTGATATACCCCCGCCATTTCCAAATCTGCTTTCTCACAGACCTCCACTGCTGGTGTTCCCACCAGCACCAGTGCAGTGCTCCCCGAATTCTGATGAGTCTCCTCTAACTCCGCTAGAGGTCACAAAACTTCCTGTTTTAGAAAATGTGTCTTACATCAAACAACAAGCTGGAGCTTCTCCATCTTCACTGCCACCTCACACACCAGGCCATCAAAAACTGGAGAAAGACCAGACAGTGTCTCATGGAACTACCACCCCTGGGCACAGCTCCTCGCCTCCTCATCCTTCCACCTTATACAGAACACAATCTCCACATGGTTATCCTAAAAGTCACTCTGCCTCACCTTCTCCTGTCAGTATGGGTAGGTCTCTTACCCCCTTAAGCCTCAAAAGACCTCCACCTTATGACTCTGTACATTCAGGAAGTCTCTCAAGAAGCTCCCCATCAGTGCCTCATTCTACAACCAGAAACACATTGCAAGAAGGAGGAAAGATGGTAAATGCCTCGGTCAATACCTACGGGTCATCATGTCAGAGCAGTTCACGTTCTCGGACACCCACCAGTCCCCTGGAGGAACTAACCAGCCTCTTCACCTCAGGACGAAGTCTTCTGAGGAAGTCCTCCAGTGGCCGAAGATCCAAGGAACCTGCAGAAAGTAAGTTTTGGTACAGCTTTTTTCCGTTCTCCCTGGCGTCAAAATAGCTTTTGGTATATTATATTAAATCAAACTCTTGCAAAAAATGCATATCTCAGCAATCTAAATTCCATATATAGCTTCCTTGTAATAAGAAGAAAAATGATTATTGTTAAAAATGCTTTGATTTTCATATTGATGTTTTTTAAAGATTTTAAATATGTATACTGCACTACAGAAGGCATATGATTCATGGCTTAGTTTTGCAAGGGGAATCGCTTGTCATTGACTTCTCCGCACACCCACATGAGCTGGGAACTTCTCAGTGCTTCAGGTCCTTGATTTCTTAACAGATATTAGGATACAGTGATTATCCAAGTAGCTTGTAGCAAAATAACCAGCCAAGAATTGTTTTGGGACTAAGGTACCTTTTACCTCGTCAGGGATCATGGATCTTATTTTGGAAAGTGTTTTGCAAAGTCATTAATTAAAATTGTTCCTATCCTTCCCACTGCCTCTTTCTCTCTTGTGCTACAATATCTCTTCTAGCTGTGCCAGGGGCCTGGTTTTGATGCAGTGCTGAGAATTCATCTGAAATCTGTCATTACAGAAAACACGTTAACCCACGCACACAGAAAAGCATGGGGGGAGGTTATGCAGGAAAACTCTAAGCCAATATTGCCTTTGAATATGCGGTAACATAAAATCCCATATGCCATATCCTGTATATAATTCAGGTTTAAGCAAAGTACACTTACTTCAGAGTCAGTGAAATGTCAGTGAAATTTCCTAATGAGATCAGCAAGTCGCAGGTGTGAGTGAAAGCAGAACCTGCCACCAGTATTTCTGTTGCAGAAAGTGTTGCTGTTCAGTGGTGCCAAAGTGATGTCTTGCAGTGGAACCTCGCTGTAAAACTTTTTGTTACTGAGCCAAGTGGGCTCAGGATGCTTCCTCCTGTAGCTTCAACAAACAAGCTTGTGACTTTGGAATCTTGAAGCCTACCTAGCTCGGAAAGAATGATTTTGAGAACAGCCGACTCGATGTTTGTTCAAGTGCCACATTTTGCCTGTTTGGCAGCTATACCTACTCTTGCTTACATTCTCACAAAAGAAGATATTACCTTTTCATTTTTCCAGGTTACCTTATTACTACAGAAGAGAAGCAAATTCTGCCCTGCCTCCCTGGTTGTGTTTGCACCGCTCCGTTGCATTGCGCGTAGCGGTGCGGTCCAGGCCGCTTGGCGATTCTCATCGCTGCCAGGCACCCTCAGGAGCTCACAACATCCCAGCAGTGGGGGGTGTTCATGGGCCCTCAGGTCCCCGCTTCAGGTTTGCAGAAAGCCAGGGACTACCCTTGCTAGCTCACGTGGGTCCACCTAGCACAGCTTGTGCCCGAGCTCGAATGAGACGAGGCCGACCGCGGGGTGCCCATGGTGCCATCGGCGCGCGGGTGGCCTCCGCGCACCTCTCCTCTGCAGCCAGCTTAGGCAGCTCGCTTGCTGCCTGTGTGGCCGTGACCACCACCCACTGCACAGGCTGTGTGCGGGGCTGCTTGGCAGCTGCTGGCAGAGTCTGTGCAAGCGGGTGAGTAGGGAGAAGCTGGCTAGCCGTGCTGTGCTGGGCTGCAAAGTGGCCCTCCTGGGTCAGGAACTGTGCTGGGCCAGCCAAGTGCTCCAAGTGCTGCTCTGCTGCACTTCTTTCTGCTCTGCTTCTCTATTACTGTTATCTTCTCTCTGGGTTGAGAGTGGCTCTCTAAGTCCCTGATCTCCCGCACGTATCAGTCCACACACCTTGTCCTGCCTGTGTGCAGGTGGTTGTGAGGGAAACATAATTCTGGAAGCTGTCCGCTGTTTACACTTGCAAACTCCTAAACTCAATTCTTCTGCTTCTCCCTTTATTTATGCTCAGCAATTCTGTGTCCTTGGCTGCTTGTGAGCTCTGTTGGTTTGGGTCAGACCTGGAGGGCCCTGCACGGAGAAGGTCACAGGCCGGATAGCGCTGCTGGGGCAGTGGGAGAGCACTGGCAGTAACGCACTGCTTGTCTAGGCTGAGCTCGTGGGCAGATCCTCGCTGCTCCGGGCTATCTAGTTGCCTGCCAGAGGTCTCAAGAGGCTTTGCAGACAAGGTGGTATTTCAGTCCTGGCCTTTGGGATCAGTCTTCGGGAGTAACCTGATGCAGCAGAATCACCTTGCTTTTGTTTTTGCTCTCTTAGTAGTGTTTTATATAGTCACCCTTTCTTTGCACGTTTATTTTCATGTATCTCTGCAAATCAGGAACAATGACTCCAAAATCAAAAGTGAAGGTGAGAATGGAATTAGCAGGATACTCAGAATATGAGTCCCTGCAGCAAAGGCTGCACTTTATCTGTCCTTAATGTCTTTGTGGCCTGCATTACCTCTGTGATTCAGTAGAGTTTTACATAAGTGATTGCAGTAATAAAAATACAATAACACCAGATTTGTGTATTGGATGGAAGCAAATTTGTGTCTAAAAGGCAAGATGATTCTTGTAATTGGGAACAATTACAAAGGATGTGATGTGACATTTACAAATAATTGTAGTAAAGTGATAGATTTTGGTGAAGTGCAGACAAAATTGAACATTATTAAACATGCTGCTTGTTGAGAAGTGAGCAGAAATTCCCATGCTAGCCCAGGCCTATCTGGCAGGCTTCATAAATTTGATGGGCTTTGTGCTCACTGAGGTAGGCAGAAAGACTAGCAAGAACCCAGGGAAATTCCCACGGCAAATGTGTCATTAGTTCAAGTCCTGGGAAATCACAGGAAATCTGTTTGCTGCCATCCCATAGGAAAATCCAAAAAGATCTTCTCTATATCCCAGTGGCCTGGGACAGATTGCAGGCTATGAAGGGACTCTCCAGAGATGAATATGAAGTCAGTTTTGGCCTGCAGGTCTCTACAAACAAGAGGTTCCCAAATGGCTTTCCAAGGAGCAATCTGCTTGCACTTTAGGAAGTGGAAAAGTGCATGTTATTGGTTGTAAATGGTAAGATAGGAGATACATGAAATAGAAAACAGGTTCATTTAAGGACAAATCTTCCATATTATAAGGAGAGGACAGTGGTGAAAAGACCCCGGAATGCAGCTGTTTTGGGTAAATGAACAGGCTGCCATCTAATCCGATTGTAATTTGTCTGGTATTTACAGTATGGCTTAATCCTGTAGGATTACTGCATGGAGAAAGAACTGGGTTTGTGCTCAGTCTTTACAGAGGTAGAAATCACTGTAAGATGTGTTGAAAATGCACATAGAGCAAGCACTGAATGTCTTGCAATTAGCATGATCCACCATAAAAATCCTACATGTTCGGGGTTTGAAAATATAGTCTGTCCAGGCTATCGCTTTTGCAGTCTGTAATAATACATAGCTAAAGATAGTGGAAAATGGACTGAGAAAATCTTAATTTTACAAATCTTATGCAAAGCTTAAGGCAATCACAGTTCTAGGGGTTTCTTTTAAGCTGTTGGAGACCATATGCATAGCACAGGACCAACTGGGAAGGCTGTGTTTTCATATTTATCACTTCAGTGTAATTTAGTTCAAGCATTAAAAAGATTTTCAGGATTTAGAGGGTAATAAACAAAAAAACCCACAAAAGTTATGTCCCTCCTATGAAATCATGCTAGCAAACTAATGAATATATACTTCTAAAATATAAAATTATTCTGAGCACATTTCAAGCAAGTTGCTCAATGATTCCTCAAAGACACAGCCCTCTGTGACTTGCTGAAGCTCTCATTGCCATATGTTAGTTGAAAAATGGCACAATACTGGATTTTAGATTCAGATTAATGTATTTGCAAAATACTGCAGCAATTATGGAGAAAATTATTTCTCATCTCTGTCGTTACTGTAACTGTCTTTGTGGAAATTTTAACCTGGATCCAAAGTCAGAATTTATCCACTGAGTTTTTATTTGTGGGCCCTCAGAGTGATTTATTTTCTGTGAAGGAGGGATTGCACAAACCTTATTTCCAGTCAACAATTTTAATATTCAAGTAAAGTTGCCCTTATAATACTTCCATATTGCTCTTCACTCTTCCAGGTTTTCCTTTTCTCTCTGTAATTCCTTTTATAGAGTTCACTGAAATTGCATTAGTGGGAATTAGGATAATTCAGTGATCCTAAGGAGACTGTCACCTCAGGGCCACATTTTCTGAAGAGACGAAGCCCCAGCGACATTATCGAGTGCGCTCAGCATCCACTGGCTGCAGTTGATGTGTGCAGCCAGATTTCATATGCGCTTACTGTGCTCTCTTCTAAAAATCCTCTTGGGTGTTGTTAGCATCTTAAATACACATTAGGGCACATTTATGAAGGTGGGGAGAAAAGAACAAAGGAAAATAAATTGTGAGGCCAAATCGGAAATGAAAAAGTTAGGCAAGATGGTCGTGAAGAAAGGCAGAAAGATGGTGAGAACTCCTGCAGAACACTGAAGGGAGACATAAGCATGGAAAACGAAGTGAAAGAGTAAAAAATATACACATTGCTGATTCATGCCAGGTACTGTGCTTTAACCTTTCCTGCTTCTTGTGTGGCACCACGGAGCATGCCCCATAGCCTGCAGACCCCCTATGAAAACATATCACCACTCAGAGGTTATAGGGAAGCTTTCCAAAGGTAACCAGCGTTATCTGGCTGGGTGCGCTCGGCCCCGCTCCCGCGGCGTCGCCTGCAGCGTCTGCTCTGGTCGCAAACAGGGAGGAGGTTTGCGACGTGCTCCTTTGGGAGTGCAGTGAAAGTGCCTAAGATTGGGGTAACATCGAAATTTCCAGTTCCTAGCCAGTGTCCGCTGCATTAGGGATCATAAACATTTTATTATTACCTGTCAGATTGTGTATGAAGGAGGAGCAGAAGTGGTTCAACTTGTTAAAGAAGAGAAGATTTTGATTGTGGGCTACTGAGACCCTCCCATGAGAAATCAAGGAGTGATAATGGAAAAAATGGTGCTTTTTTAATTCCTGATGTTTAAAGGGAGTTTGCAGCTGTGGCTCCCTATCA